TGTACAGAAAAACAACTATCCTTCTGAATCAAAAAATAAAGTGATAAAAATCACCACCATCATTTAGGAAATGAAAGGAGAATAAAAAACTACCCCTAAAACGCAACCTAGATCTAAAAACATTTTCTTCTAAATTAAACACGGAACAATCTTCCACTAGGATAAATAGGACAGGTATGTCCTTTGGGTGTAGCTTTATCAGAGGTTCATGTGAAGAAGATTTATTGCCTGATAGAGCAGTGCAGGGTACTCCAGCTAACATGCACTTATTTCAGCCAATACACTTCCTAAGACAGAACATGTACCATTTGATGAGAGGGAGGAAAAAAAAAAAACTTCTAATCCAAACACTAAAATAGTTCAAAAGGTACCCTTGCCAACACCGTAGTACCAACACCGAGAAAAACTGTTGAAGAGTGCCAACGTGAACAGACAATTGTGTGTGCTGCAAAACGACGTGCAAATAAAACAGTCCTGCCCCCACCCATTTCCTGGCTGTGTTTGTGTGTGAAAGGGAAAATGACCGGTCCTCAGGGTGTCCTGCTCACTGAGTCAGAGCTGGGCGGGAGGCATGCTTACTGTGCAGGCCGCTGCAAGGGCTCGAAGGCCTCTGGCAGATCATGAAGCTGAAGGGAGTTTCCCGCCAGCCATTTCTGAAATCCGGGGCAGGCTTCTGATCCTCAAGAAATCAAGCCCAATCTGACACTTACCTATACCATGCAAAGTTCAGCGTTAAATGCTCCTTTGCAGGCAAGGCACTGTGACGCAGATCCCCCTCTAGAAATTCTTTAAATCCCGCAGACTTTGAAATGTATAACAATATGCAGCTCTTTAACTGCCGTCAGTCATTTTAACACAGGTCCCCGGCTCTCAGCAGCTGCTCTTTAAGCAATCCTTTGGCACATTAAGACATAACAGGGGAAAAAAAAACCTCTCAAACGCAAAGTATCACTGCTCTTCAGACTTACACCTAACGTGACGTCAGGGAAGACGTGAGTCAAAGTGATTTCACACCAGGAGCCCAGTCGCAGAGGGATATGCCGTTATTGAAGAAACTTGTGAATTAGCAAGGACCGCGCTGTCAGAGCAGTGAAATTGGGGAAGAGTTCTGCCCCAGATTAGAAATGGAGACTGATCAGCTATCTTGGGATCTCGGCTTCCTGTTCGGAAGAGATTCATTTGCTCTTACGCAAACAATCCCACAAGCCCTGCAACTGCAACACTGTTTGATCAAATAAGGCAAAGCCAGACGAGTAGCACCTGATGATCAATGATGGCAGAAATATTTTCCTCAAGTTTAAAAAGCTAATTAATTAATGTTCATTCACACCCTTTCCACAACAGCAAAACTTAAAATTAAAGTCCCAGACTAAGCCCGTTCTACAGAACTTACATCATATATATATATACAGCCTAGGACGGAGAGCAGAGCAGCCCGATATCAGGGTGACACCAGCCCACAAGGAAAGGCGTTTTAGTTACCACAGCACTGTCATCACCACTATGGAAAAAAAGAGCTGTAACCCTTCAAGACTTGTAGAATGACACTCTAAAATGTCAGTCTGAAGGCGAAACGCATTCATTGTGTACCGTGCTCGTTTATTTGCTACTGAAAGGAAGATCACAACACCCCCCTAACATCCAACAGGTTCCAGGAAAAGCAACTCAAAATAAGTCACCATGAAGCACAAAGAATAGTTGGTCTGTTTTGGCTGACGCTACCATTTACAGAAGTATTTCCAAATAACTGTAGCTGCACAAGTTCAATTAGAAATATTCCGATTTGCAACCCTTTTTTACCCAGCAAAACACTTATTATAAGCAAGAAGAATTAAACCCGCTTTTCAGTAAATGTAGGTCAACTGCCTCCATCAACACTGCAGCAGGGTGGCGTTTCAACTTCTTTAAGCTTCTAAGCGTGCAATGAGGAAAAGATCTTAATGTCTCTCACTACCGTGCTGATTAAAGATTGATCTCCTCCTTTCATAGTACTCTGACAGCATTATCCAAGGATCCTGAAGTAGGGGTGACAGCAAGGCAGAGTAATAAGGAAGGAGGGACTGAGAGCACACGACCACTCTCCTTCCAGTCGAGACTCCAGTCTAATGCAGGGCCGTGCAAAATTGGGACCATTCAGGAAAGCCAATAAAGCCTATCTATGGAAACTGAGAAACCCACCTGGAATTGATCCTGAAACCCAGGAACTGAGACATCTGTGCTTTCTTCCACACCACTGCGACACTGACACTACTCAAATCTTGGTTTTCATCTGGAAGGCTCATTTAGGATTCCCCTTTTTAATAATTTAAGCCGCGATCATCAATGTCGCCCTGTAGAGATTGCTGAAGCAGAATAGGGCATTATTATGGTCTTGACTGCACTCTCTGGCACCCTACAGCCAAAGCAAGAGAGAGAATCACTCACTGCCACAGGCCCTTGTAAGCACACAAAGCCCTCACTGTCTGCAGTCTTTTGCAGCCAGTTCATGTACTGGAGTAGGTACGACGACACTTCATTTTTTTTTATTTCTTCCTTTTGCGACTGCAAAACAGACTTCGCTGGCGCAACGTCGGTCACAACACCCAAGTATGAGAACTTCGCCGATTCGTTGGGAGAGCAAAAAGAGCTGGAAATGGCAGAGGAGACGGACGGGTGAGCAGAAAGGTTTAACCCGACAGGGATAAAGGAAGGACAAGAATGGGATTTAGGTATGCAGGAAGGAGGATGGATTCCGTGAACTGGACGTCCGTTGTCGGAGTCAACTGGAGGCCCTTCGCTGCCAAGTTGGCAGAAACGAGTGCACAACACCCCTCATCTCTGCGACCACCGCAACCTACAGCATGCACATCCTAGGGCCCTGCCAAAGAGCAGCTAAACCAGGACACTCCATTTTCTGCTCCACAGGGCAGATGCTCAGAAGAAATGACATAAGAGCCATAGCAGTTTACAGATATAATCACATTTCCTAGGATGAACCACAATTTAAAAAAAAAACTTAATTACTTGCAATACTTTTACTTCTTATACAAGACTTAGTTACTAATAGTTCAAGTAGGGAGCCGCGTCAGCATGCGTAGGCTGCAAAGGAACAAGTAGAGGTTAATTCCAGGCTGAAGAGAGAAGAAAGGCTCCACAGCCGAAACGTTGCATTGCCTTTCTTCTCTTTTCAGCCTGGAATAAACCCCTACTTGTTCCAAGACTTTATTAACAGTTTCATAAAACCCCTTTAAGCTTCACTGGCATTGACGTTCTATTAGAACACGACAAATATTTTGTGCCTGGTGCACGTAGTCCGTCACGAGGCTGACAGTACGTTTCGCTAAGGACAGGGGTTACCAAAGTGAGATCTTGAGCTGGAGACCACACAACACTCATCCGTGCTCACACCCAGAATGGTCTTGAGATCTGTCCGTGTTCCTCCCGTGAAAGCCAGTCTGCGCACCAACTCCGACGGTAACGATCACATCAAAGGGCCAGCTGCCTTCGGGCCAGGAACCAGGCAAATCGCAGTCAGTCTCCCCTCCCCGCTGCGCACAGCCGATAACGGGGCCCATCCATCGCTTTTAACTTTCTTTTAGCGGCACAGCAGGACACCGCAGGCCAGGAGCACAGAACAGACCCGGGCACATCAGAAATGAGTCACGGATGTACTTTTTACACTCGGTGTTCTCCAACTGATCAATTCAATAAATGAGCCAATTAATCAGTAGCGCAAAACCCCACTTGACAGTTTGCACCATATGTGGCCATCCGCGAGTTCAAATCTTATCACCAATTCTTTGTTTTTAAAACCCTTGCGGGTTTTTCATTCTTGCAACCAGGAATTTCTTTTCCGGCCGGTTGCGGCGGGTTTTTTTTGTTTTCCTTTGTTAAAGGCTTTAAAGGGGGGCCCCCCCCCCAGAAGAAAAATGAAAAAAAGGCTAACAAGCACGGCTGCTCTAGGCCAGACCATCAATAAATTTGTCTGCTGACCGAGACTTTTCATTCCTTCAGCTATCTTTAGTACAGATTGCCATGGATACTGAGGGCACAGAGGGAGAGGGCTTGTAAATTAAAAGATGAGAACCCTTTATGTGCAATTTTGAAAAGTTTGGATGCGACATTAGGGGGGCTGGGAGTGAAACACTGGAGGACAGTAGGACAAAAAAACAAAAATGAGAAAGATTAAAAAAAAACTTTTTTTGCCAGGACATTTGTAGGGTCCGAAAAGCCTGAACTGCTCATCTTGGCCCCACATCTCAAGCAAACCCCACAGATGTAAGAGCTGTAATATGGAATAACTCAAACGTAGGATTGTTCATTTTTTAGCAGACCCTGTTTATCACAGAAGTTTGGTACTATTTTCTGTGGTTGGTCAAATTAAAAAGCACATTTTCTATTCCACGCCTTGTATTTTCTCCCTATTGCTCGCCATGTAGTAGCAGCGTCTCCTCATTCATGTCATATACATAGTATTCCTACATAGCATCTGATTAATTGACAAATTAGACTGTTTGAGTAGTTCCAGTGGGGAGCTGCTTCAGCATGCGTAGGCTGCAAAAGAACAAGTAATAGGTTTACTGCCTGCTGAAAAGAGAAGAAAGGAAACAACGTTTCGGCTGTAGAGCCTTCTTCGGGTGTGAAGGAACAGTAGGTCGCAGCAGAAGTAGGCTGGAGCAGTTCAGTAGCAGTTTCCTTTCTTCTTTTTTCAGCAGTAGCAATTTATGGAATAAACCTTTAACTTGTTCCTTGGCAGCCTACGCATGCCGACGCAGCTCCCTGCTTAAAATATGTTGTTGCCTTCGTTACCGAAAAGGGAGAAAGTCCAAAATTACCCGCCAAAAAAAAAGTAATACTTAGGATGACGCGTTTCAATAAGTAAACCAGCCGCTAACCTTGGGTGCCATCACTATGGGATAACTGCCCACAGTAATTGAGTTAGAGGGGCAATTTGCACTCCTTAGACAATCACATCGGCTCCACTGACTTGCACCGAGAAAGAGCAGGGTCTGCGCACTGACCTGGGAGATGTGGTTGATGGAGGACTCCATGCGCCGCAGCTGGGAGGCCTGGATGTCGAGCAGCTGCAGGACATTGTTGGCCAAGGCGTTGATCTGGTAAGCAACGCTCGCAAGAGACTGAGTCGTGTAGGCTTTAGTCTCCTCGAGGGCTTTCCTCTTGTCCTGGGCCTGAGGAGAAAAGGTACAGCTCAGCGTGGCCTGGCACTGTTCTGGCACTTGTGCCGGTCTTGAGAAGAGTCACAACCTTGTTTTTGGTACCATGGAGAACCCGGCAAGATCTTTGCAGATGTCTCGCGGATCTCGGATCCTCCATCACACACCCGCACTTGTATAACCAATTTTCAAACAAGTAACAGAAGGTCAAGGGTTTTTTTTTTTTAAATCTCCTCCGTTTTCATTAACCTTCAAAATAGAGAGTTTTCAAGCTCCAATTCTCAATGACACAAAGCACGTTTCCTTTCTTAGGAAGAAGGCTATCCGCAGTGCCCTACTTCCTCAATCCCTTCACAGCAAAACTGGCTTAACTATTTGATTCCTAGTAACACAGGAATAAGAGTATATACGCTTCCATTTCATGTGAAGGATCACTAAAAAATTCCCAGAAATTCTGGCAGCGCATGACAAATGAAAGGTCATTTCCTCATCAAAATATACAGTACTTTTAAAATCCTGGGAAAGAGCTAAAAAGGCTTCAATTATATTTCATAGCAGTTAATATTATAGGTCAGCGTCTATAAGCCTATTTGTCATGTCATTCAGTAGTGTTAAGATTTATGCCAGCATGTTTTAAAGAGAGAAAGGCCTTTTAAGGCTCTTAAGCACGTACACTGGGCTCTAGATGCAGCTCACAAACCACAGCTGTGACACAAATGTCACTAGAGGTATCACTGTGGTAAACCATAGAGCCACCAAAACCATCCTCCTTCTTAAGGAAGACACGGTTTAGAAAAACATTTCTTCTAGAAAAAAAAAATCCTTTACATTTCTGATTAATTTGTAAATGGGAAAACAGTAGGGGCATATCCCCCTGGCCTTTACCAGTCATGGCCTCCTAATGGTCCCCATCTCGGAACTGGCTTCATCACTCTGCTCTCCTCCCCACCTGAGAGCTGCTGTGTGCTGAGCGCACGGGCGCAGTCCGACTGCTGTCACATCATCCAGGTGGGGGGGGGTGGGGGGACGGACACTGGGGGTAGTGGAGGGGATCCCCATTACCCGTAAAGCTCTCTGAGTGGAGTGTCCAGAAAAGAGCTATAGAAGGTAGGGAATTTATTCCAGACAGAAAAAGGAAATCTCCAGGCATGTTGAGAACTTGAGCCTTTTGTTTTTGATCGGATTGCAATAACAGATGCAACAGCTGACAACAGCCTGCAGGAATGAGGGGAGATTCCTCTCGAGAGTCCTCAACGCTAGAGTGGCCATCTGTTCCCGAGGTCAGGCTGACCGGTCGGCTCTTTTCCTGGACCATGGGAACTACACCGCGAGTCCAAGGTGGCCGCTGCACATGACAAAAAGTTCAACCAAACCTCCATCTTTCAACTACAAAGCAATTCACAAAACTGCATTAAAAATATCGAGGGGAACCTTCCCGTCTAGAGAACACGACTCAAAAGCTTAGGCCTGATTCTGGAGCTAGCTATTCTGCTTTAAACAAAGTGGCATTTTTCAATGGTTGCAACACGGCAATGTGTACTGGAGAGTCATTATAGAAAACTTGAAGACATAATTAAAAATCCATTTTCACTGATTACCACAATCAGTATTAGACTGGGTGAATTTGCTCTTTGTCTGCCCTCCCGTAAAGCGCAGCCTTTCCATTAATGATGTTACCCCACTGTGTGTTCTCAGATTAAAAAAAATTAGCATCTTCCAACAATCAACAGAACCAATGCATTTGTACTCCAAGCCACTCGATGTTTTAAGATCGTAACATTCTAACGGCTTAAACCTGTTGCGGGGACCTTGCTGATCAAGTGTTGCGGAAAAAGCCGTCATTAAAGGTTAGTGCGCAAAAAAAGTGTCTTGCTGCCAGCTCTGCCCTGAGCTGTCAGGAGAGCAGCTGCATGGAACACGCCAAAGAGATCGAGCGCATCACTGCGCAGGACGTCTCTTCCACCCGCTCCCTGCCGGGGCAGCTCAAGTCTTCTCGAGCGCTTCCTCTTTCACGGATCCTAACGGCCTAGAACGATTTCTGATCAATAAAAACCGCTGTCTCTATCGGAGGATCTGAATCGTACATTTTGACCCACTCGGACTGGCTTTTTAAAGTGTGTCGATTTCACAATAGGAAGTTCTGAAGTCAAGGCTACAGGAGACCAAGGGAGTAGAAAACACGCGCGATAAAGAACTAGAAAACAAGGTCATGTGAATTTTTATCATGTTCTGGGCATTCGACACTTTGTACTGCAGACATGCTGCCAGCATTCGAAACCAAACTGGAGAATACACTGTCCTATATCCTGCAAATTCAATCAATGAAGTTGCTTTCTTTCAAGTCATTTTAAACAGGGGGGGAAAAAGATGCCAAGAACTAAGCAACACAGAAAACATTCCTACCATCAGGGTTCCCGATTTATTTTGTGCCTGAAGCAGTACTGTTCCCGTGACCTTAAAAAAAAAAACTGAGCACATCCTTTAACCTTCTCATGCAATTATAAGGGCACACGGACGCTGAAAATAACTCCCCATAATTTCCATCCCTGAGCTCAGCAAACGTGTGCCCCCCCAGTCAACAGGTTACAGGCTACAGGCTACGAAACCAGCTGAACTGTGGAAAATACATCCGAGGAATGTGCGCAAGAAAAACTTCCCATCTCATTACCAAGGTAGAGGCTACAAATGTGTTCTTTTCAAGCACCTACTAAAACGTGCGCTTCTGGGGTTAATCTGCACACAAGCAGGAACTTTTTGAAAGAGCAGGGCCGGCAGGTCACCGCAGGTCCTTCAGCTCGGCCGTTATCACGCTGCACTACCCTTCCTTCTGTCTCCCTCAGTGGAAGGAGCGTTATCGGCGGTTGTCTTCAGGGCAGCAGGAAGGAAACCCCACAGGCTTCCTCCCAGGGGGAGAGTTTCAGGGTCAAACGGGGTAGCGCACCCTCCTCCTCCGCCCTCCGCCCGCACGCCGCTGCCTGGCGGGCACATAGCCCCCCCCAGCCGCTGACACGCCGTCACGCCGCAGCGCGACAGATGTGCAGACACAGTCGGAGCCCGTCGCGCTAATCTGCCCTGTCAGCCTGTATTTCACAGCTCCTCCGCCGGCAAAGCTGATTGAACAAACGGAATTACAGCAGTGGGCGTCGCCCTTTGAGACCCACTTCCCGCAGGCTCGCCTCTTAAAAGGCTTAAAGGCACACTGACGTCCGAAGCGATTTCGGTTCGCCGGGTGCTCACAGCGCCAAATGAGAAATGAGCAGCATCTTGGATCTCACTGACAACCGACAAGCTCTCCTTGTGCAATATGCCACAAGTCCTGAAGAAGAAGCAAATAAAATCTTTAAAATGCAGAAACATGACGTCGGTTCCATGTCTGTTTTTGACTTGGATTTGTTTTTGAAACGGTTTAGTCTGATCATTTTTGACTGTTTTGCACTCGCGGTGACATGCGCAGGCAACAGACCACACCCAGATCCACCAGCAAGCAAAAAAAAAAGTTGAAATGTTGCACCTGGAAGATGAGCCGTGCACTGATCTGACAAGTTGAGCATGTTTTAACACAACATGAAACAGCCCTTTAATACTGCCTTTAACAGCGACAAATGACCTTTTTCAGGATAGGATTAGGAGTTCATATATTCTTTCTTTTAGGCAATACAAAAGCTTTTAAACTAGAGTGTATTTCTAGCGGTCATTTTGACAATGTTTACAGCATAACCAGTTACTTTAGATTCCAACACTTAACAATACGTTCTGTTGCATCACAACATAATTAAAAAGCTGCCCCGTTCTTAAAAGGACCGAAAGAAACTTTTCCTGGATTTTGTCGATACTGAGGCAGTTCAAAACCAAACAAAAACTGTCCAGACATCCAGTCCAACAGACCGGCCTTTCAGTCCCAAGTATGAAGGCGCCAGGCTGCCACAGAAGTGCAGCGTGACGAGGGGTTTAGAGAAAACAAAATGTTGACCTAAATTCGAGGCAGCTGGGGACTGACCCAGGACTGGCCTCATAAGCACAGAGTGGGTCTAATGCAAACGGTGGTACTGGAGGGGTGAGTCCGATATGTACTTATTTTTATTTTCAGGAACCTCCTGGTTTCAGAAATCCAAAAACACAGATTCCCAGAGCTACACTTTTTTTTTTTTAAATAGCCTTCACAATTATAAAACAAAGCTCTATTTTAGATTTACTGGTTGTCTTGTTTTACATAGTCAGGGGGCCTACTGAATATGTATCTGTGTGTACTACTTACCTGCTCTAACACCAGACTAAAATTAGAGGCAGAATTATGTAGGACAGGAATCATGAAGCAGGCATCTCTGCTGCTCTCCTGAATCATTAGCATAAACATGCAGCGAAACAAGGTCACTTTAGACACTGGCCAGCGAATGGAACTATGAGACATTTTGTCTCATTTTGGCCACATGAGACATTTTGTTTTAAAAAACCGCAGAAAAAAAAAATCACGAGTCCCACTCTCCATCTTTTAAAAGTTTTTAAAATGTTCCATTCCCATTTAGAACACAATCTCTCTTTATTAAGGTTTACCCCCCTAAGGGAGCTTACATTTGCATTCAAACTACAAGTCGGCTTAAAATATGTCAACTATAAAGCAGCATTCCAGTACTGTAACAACAATCATTATAACATTTAGGAAGTTTCACCTCCAACTCTAGACGCGGACATTGTCAAAGATGTGTCCTTTCAGCACCTGTTTCTACTGTCTCCAATGACAGCTGTAGTCCAACACCTGAGGACTTGATGTCACAGCAACAGTGTCGAAACTGACTGCTTGTCCGTACAGACGGATCTCATGATCACCTTCACCTGTCCTGGGTCTCTCAAGGTCGGTGCTGCTCATTAACTTCGAAAACTGCAGTACTTGACTTTACCCCTGGAAGCCAGACGACTGAAATATAACTCAGCGAACCCAAATACCAGGACATCAGGCCTGAAATCAAAGCACTAAAAAGTTTGCATTTATGCCCTTCTGCAAAATCCACAATGGAATT